AAAATTATTTAATTGCAATCAATTAGAACATTTAATTGCCATCTACTGTGCTCCGGAATCGTCGACAAATTCTCAGACATGGGACTATTTGTTTTCTATGGCAAACAGAAAGTCGCTTATATTAGGCGATTTTAATGGACACCATTCAAACTGGTCTTACAAAACAGATACGAGGGGAAACCAAATCTTAGATTCAATATTAGACTATAATTATATGATATTAAATGATGGTAGCCCTACACGTTTTCAACTTGTAAACAATGTATATAGAAAATCTTCTCCTGACTTATCTATAGCGTCCTCTGATATCTCTTTGGGTTTTGATTGGATGGTATCAAATGAAACGTTGGGAAGCGATCACATGATTATTAAAATATCTACTTCATTTTACTCAAATGAGCAGTATCAAAAAAGAAGAAATTTCAAAAGGGCTAACTGGACAGTCTATGAGAGTTACCTCGATGAAAAATTTAATACTTATGATACCTCCACTCTTAATAATCCTCAAGTAGCTTATAATTCGTTCTTAAATATTTTATACGATGCCGCCGAGAAGTGCATCCCTAATATAAAATTTAGTACTAACCCTACAAGTAATTTTCGGCCTAAACCATATTGGAACCCCGAATTATCCAAGTCAGTGGCAGAGAGGCGACTAGCACTAGCTAACTTTCGACGTAACCCCACCCCAGCAAATTTAATTGCACTAAAAAGGAAAATAAGTGTGTCACGGAGGATGCTTAGACAGACCCAAAGACAGTCTTGGCATCAATTTTGTAGTTCTATAGACGAAACAACCTCAGTGAGTGGACTATGGAATAAAATTAGGTGGATTAAAGGTTACCAAACACAAAAAAGACACATTGACCCAGATACAGCCAGCCTTCTTCTATATAGCCTAACCCCTGACGATGTACCCCGATGTAAACCTATATTCTCTTCTCAAAATTCGGCTCTAGATATTGAAATCACGTTGCAGGAATTAAATCAAAGTATTAAAACAAAAGACACTGCACCTGGGTTCGACAACATTTCTTACAGTATGATTAAAAATTTACCTGTAAACGCTAAATTAGTTCTAGTAAAACTGTATAACTCTTTTCTTTCGACGGGTTCAGTTCCTACTCAATGGCGAGATATTAGTATTATACCTATCCCTAAACCTGGGAGGGACACCCACTCCTCATCGGCACTGAGACCGATTTCGCTTATATCATGTTTGTGCAAAATTTTTCATGCAATTATACAGAAACGACTAGAGTGGTATTTAGAAAAAAATTGTATGTTCTCTAACGACACGTTGGGTTTTAGAAAGTGCAGGTCTTGTCTAGATAACTTAAGTCATTTAGTAACAAGAATTCAAACAGGTTTCTGTAAAAATTGTATAACAATCGGATGTTTCATTGATATAGATAACGCGTATAACAATATAAATATCAATAATCTTTTATATAAATTAGATATGTTAGGGGTGGGACATAAAATATGTAGTTACCTTTTTGAATTTCTTCGGGAACGTTATCTTAAACTAGTAATAAATGGTATGTCGGTGACCCGCAGCACCGGCAGAGGATTGGCACAGGGTGACCCATTGTCACCCTTGCTGTTTAATGTGGCAACTATAGACATTTGCAAACAACATAACACCGATTCAGTACACATCTTACAATATGCAGATGATTTCGTTATTTATTGTACACATAAAAACATATTTAACGCCGCTGAACAGTTACAAACTTCGTTGGAGAATATCGTAGGCAGTTTATCTGAGCTTGGTCTAGAGATTTCGCCCTCTAAGAGTAAAATATGCGTCTTTAAAAAAGGTTGTAATAGACAAAATATTTCTATAAAATTGAATAATACAAGCATACAAGTAGTAGATAGTGTAAAATATTTAGGTTTGTGGCTAGATCGATCTCTTAGATGGGCTAAACACATAAGAGAAATTAATGAAAAAGTATCTAAATTTCTCAGCATCCTTAAGTTTGTGGCGGGGATAAGTTGGGGTATACACCCGAAACATTTAAGAAAAATGTATATTTCTCTCCTGAGGAGTCGTTTAGACTACGGTAGCTTTTTATACGGTGACAGTAGTGAAACACATTTATGCAAATTAGAAAAAACTCAAAATCAGGCTATGCGAATTATCGGCGGGTTTATCAAAACGACACCTATCCATGTAATGAGCAGTGAACTAGCGATACAGCCGTTACATATACGTAGATGCTACTTAGCCGGTAAATTTTTACTAAAATGCAAATCTTTATTAACGAAGAGTAAAATAATTAACTACTTAGAGGATTTAGCCAACTATCTAATCGCATGGCGTAGGAAAAATAAACCTGTTTTAATAATAATGTACGAACAATTGAGAGAAGTGCAAGTTCATTGTAGCCAAAATTTAGAGATGTTTGAGAGCCGGGTGTGGATGGGCTATATAGATATTTCCAAAAATTTAACAGATAATATAGATTACATAAACAAACCTAAACAGCAATACAGGACATCCGTTTTGAGAGATTTGTGTTTTTATTATATGGATACTCGGTTTCCGAATTATTACCAGATATTTACCGATGGATCGAAAGAAAAAGGTGGTGCGGGGGCGGCCCTCTTCGATCCTCAGCAAAATACATTCGCTCGCTATGGAATTAGGGTAAAAATGTCGATCATGTGTATTGAACTAATAGCTATTAGTGAAGCGTTATCTTACATTCGTTCTATTGACCATGACAAGTTCGTTATTTTTACTGACGCTAAAAGTGCCCTCCTACATGTAGCTCGGTGTACCTCGACAATTCGAGGAACACCGATAGCATACACAATTATGAATCAAATTGTTGAGTTAGAACGGAGCGGTAAAACAGTACATCTTCAGTGGATTCCATCTCACATTGGTATAACTGGGAACGAAATGGTTGACACACTTGCAAAGCAGGCTTGTTCTGAAGGTATATATATTTCAATACTGCCTTACTATTCAGACTGCCTATATCTCGTAAAAGAATACTGTTTTAAATCCTGGAAAGAATATTTCGATAAAAGATCAACCGAAAAGGGTATCTGGTATAAAACTATACAACCTGAACCGCTGGCTATCCCTTGGATTGATAACTGTTCTTTGAGTAGACATAAATTGATAACGGCTATGAGGTTACGCTCTGGACACATCCCATCCAGAAAGTTCACCTTTTTAATGGGTTTATCATCTACGCCAAATTGTGAAATCTGTGGTGTGGTAGAGGACGTAGAACATGTTTTGATGGAATGTGTTCGGAACCAACAACTGAGAGAACGTCTGCTTAATGATAAGTTGATGGACATTGGAAGATGTAACAGCATCCTAGCTAGTCCTTTGACGGATACAGCTAATGATATTTATACCTTGTATTTTAAATATTTAAGTTAATTTTAAAACAAAAAATGGCTATGATGGAGCGACGTAGTCATCATTGTGGCTAAGCTCCGTAAATAAAGAGAAAAAAAAAAAAAAAAAAAAAAAAAAAACTAAAAGCTACGGGGAAGTTGAACGGAGAATGCTACTGCTAATCCTCAGTTGGGTGGTTACGGTGCAAAAACTCCAGGGCACTACCCTAAAATTCCCAAAGGCAATGTTTATGTTGCGAGACTTAGAAACAATTATTGCGAAAACAAAAAAAAAATATTCAAATAAGTTTTATAGATTGCTCTTTATTTTCGAAATGGGGGATATAAAATAGGGCTCAAGTCATTTAGGTTTTAAGTTTTCAAATTATAATGAAATAAAAATAAATTAAAGTCAGTGAACTCTGAAAGAAAAATTAATATATCCGAAAGTAAAGATGAAAATACCTTTAGAATTCCTCATAGTTATTATTCTTAACCTAGACTTATCAAAATAGACATATAAACGAGTCATGACCGCTTTTCGGAGTTTTTTGTAGACATAGGACAAAATCACAGTGAACTGTGAAAATCATTCGATTTTTGCGTACGTAGGTTAGGGTTGCTAGGAAGGTAGGTTAGACGCTATTTAACAGTACCTATATAATAAAAAAAGTACTAGTTACGGTTAAATAGGCGAAATAGGGTCTTTATGCATGGTCTGAAAACAGCTTATTGGCAACAACGCTTGAGTAAGTAGTAACCCTAACCTGCGCACGAAAAAATCCAATGATAAATCACCGGTCTTTCACAGTTCACTGTGATTTTGTTTCATGTCTAGACTGATAAGCAACTGATTATTTTCTTAGCTGACAACATTTATTTCTGATCATAAATATAATCTTAATATTGTTCTGTATCTGTACCAAAAAGGTTTTTAGTAGACTTGCAACGAATATTCGGTTACTATTCGGTATTCGGTCTATTCGGCTGCTTTTATTATATTCGGCCGAATACCGAATATCTACATATTATTCGGCCGAATACCGAATACTTAAATAATATATTTTTTCATTGAGAAATAATTGGTAAAATGAAAAATTAAAATCGATTGATTACGTATATATTAATATTTTCATTTCTGTTATAATCATTTAAGTAGTCATTGGTGCATAACACAGGTACATAATCATCTTCTGAATTGGAAAAATGGAGGATTCTATGTATTTGAATTATTGTGGTAATCAAAATTTAGAAGGGTAAGGTTCTCATTTCTTTTATAATTATTTATTAAGTAGTCATTGGTACATAAAACAGGTACATAATTTAATTCACGTCTGTACAAGTTTTTGGCGCTAAAATCCAGCCGAATACTTTTGCCTAATATTCGGCTATTCGGTCAGGGGCCTCGCCGAATATTCGGTATTCGGTATACTGCCGAATATACTATTCGTTGCAAGTCTAGTTTTTAGTAGTAATCCCACATACGCAAATATTTTTTAATCTGTGCCTACTGGGCTCACTGCCACTGCTACCTGCTAGTTGTCAATGTCATACGACCAATTGATCATAAAGTTTGTAGGTTAGGTGAGAATAAAACACATTTTTGTCAAACCAATTTTGATTATAATAGAATAATGGAAGATATTGAAGATAATGAACATGTTGCTTTAGAACATGACAGATTAGTGAGTGCCATATCAAAGCTGGACAAAACTCAATACATAACTGAGCCCACAAGAAATGAGGCCACGAATGTTAACTCGGAGTTCAACCTTATCAAGAACAAAAATAGATTAAATCTTAGTAATGTTGCTAAGATATTAGAAAACACATCGCATCATGTACAAATAAGTAAAAAACTTAAGAAAACCCAGGACGAATCTAAAGTGTTGACTAAGCCTCTTGAGAAACCACAAGCAGAACGTATTAAAAGGGCTACGGGCTACGAAGAGACTACAAAGAGAGTTGGAAGATGGGATCCCGTCGTAGCTAGAAGTCGTACAGTAGATTATGTCACTTTTCCTCTAAAACATGTGTCCACAAAGCTTCAACCAACAGGAGAGTTCCTTTCAAAATTTAAGAGCAAGTCTGATCTAGAAAAAGAATTGGAGGAGCTGGATCCTCCTACAATTGAAGAGAATGATGAAGAAGACGAAAAGATGTTCCCAATGTCCTATGAAGAAATGGTTGAACACAGACAACATATTGCAAAAATAAGAGCTCAACAATCCTATAAAGCTGCAAAGTCTAAGAGACAAGGCAAAATAAAGAGTAAAAAATATCATCGGTTGGTAAAAAAAACTTATTTCACTTACATTGCAATGAAATGCTTAATGATTTATTTTAAAACAGTGAAATTAGATTCTGTTGTTAACATTCTGGTAAATGACATTTTAAGGATTGCTGTTCAGATGTTAATTTTAGGATATTCACACTTATTTCATCAATCATTAATCTTCTATAATTATATCCTTACTAGTCCATACTAATATCCAAACTAATTAAATAATATTATAAATGTGAAAGTGTCTGTCTGTCTGTTGCTCTTCACACTTAAACCGCTAAATCGATTTAGATGAAATTTGGTATATAGTTTTTGTCCCAGGTAACGACATAGTATAACTTTAATCAAACAAATCATCCTTTAAGGAATAGGGGGCTGGAAGTTTGTATTGGGAATCAATAACCGCTGAATCAATTTAAATGAAATTTAATATGGAGTTATTTTGAGTTGTACGGAAGAACATAGGTTACTTTTTAAGCCGCAGGCAAAAGCTAATATATATATACGTTAATATTTGTGAACAAAAATTCAAAACTTTGCACCAAGTGAGCTCAAATTTTTACATAATATACAACCCACCGTAGGACACCCACAAGCCTGGTGGAGTATCTATTTGCGTAAGATGGCTGACAGGAGCTGGATGTGAGAAGCCAAAAACCGATCGAAGTGGCATGTAATAGGAGGCCTACGTCCAACAGTGGACTGAGACAGCCTAGTGATGATGATGATGATGAATATGCATAGATTAGCTAGCCATAGGCATGTGCTTTCTTTAAAAAAATTTGATGCTTAGTATCTAGAAAAATCATTTTTATTACAATCATTAAATATCTTTCTTTTATCAAAACTATGTAAATAATTTTTTTAGTAATATGTATACAAACAGTTTATGGATAGGTAATTGGAATTATTCATTTAACAAGTTGTGGAATGGATTGTTTTTAAACCCAGTTTATGTGTAGTATTTTATATATCTTAATCTGTCATTACTGTCTATTTTCTCAACATATACAATAATGGATTATGTACCTAAGTCTACTATTAATATTTTCATTTCAGTGTGCTTAAAAAGGAAAAACTAAAACAACAGTTGAAAGAATTTGAAGAATTACAGAAGAAAGATCCAGAGGAGGCCTTAAAGAAACTGGAAGCCCTTGAAAAAGGTAGAGCTTTGGAAAGGCACACATTGAGGCATAAAAATACAGGAAAATGGGCAAAGAACAAACTTATTAGAGCTAAATATGATAAAGAGGTAGGAATATTTATTATTACATTATTTTGAAAAATTATTTTTCACAATGGATATGGCTGACACAGTATATGGCTGGCACTTTTACTGCATTCATCAGGCTTTTCACACACTCACTGGTTACGGATGTTTTTGATAAGCCCCTTCTCCAGTTCTCCGCTTAGGGGTCATTCATTAATTACGTAAGAGTCGTACTTTTAATTAAAATAATAATATTTTTGTGTGTCTGGGTCTACTTTATCTATTATATGTATGTATTTATAAATATATAAGTATGTTTATCAGCAGTCTGGTTACCAGAGCACAGCTCTGCCTAGTTTGGGATCAGACGGCTGTGTGTGAGATGTGTGAAGTTATTATTATAATCAAACCGTGACTAGTTTCCATTGCCATTGGCAATTTATTATTCCTGTGATCCTTTTAGATATTTTTTCTGTGAATGATTTCAGTAGTATCTATATTTGAAAATAAATTATATACTATAGTCAGTTTTCTTTTAATAAATTGTACTATATAAATAAATAAAAAGTATCATGTGGCACTGTCTACAAAATTATATGGAAACCTGCTGCAATAATTGTTTTTTGTTTCAGGTCCGGCAGCAGTTAGCCGAACAATTGGCTGTAAGTAGAAGTTTAACTCAAAAAACTCAAAACAATCAAAGTTCAGATGATGAAATTGAAACTGAAACTATCCCTGATTTAAATTTGGCTCAAGATCCGACGAATCCTTGGATGTTGCAAAGATCTGACAAATCAAATGTAAATACTGAATTTAACTTTGGATATAAGAAATTTTTACAAAATAAAATGAAGAGAAATGAAGACACTGATAGTGAACCATCTGAAACGGAGCAATCAAATGTAGAAAAACAAGTTGAAAAGAAATTAAACAAAATAAGAGGAAACATTGAAAGATTAGAGAGGGCATCTCGGCTAGAAAACAAAAAGGCTAAAGTAAACAATACAGAAAGGGACAACTTAGAATACCTTAAATTTAAACCCACAAAAGTGAAAGCTGTCATTGATGAAGAATTAATAGAAACAGCTTCTAAAAATGTTGATGAGATTAACAATGGACCTGGAATTACACCCGTTTCTAAAGTGTTAAATGGTGACCAACTGCCAGCACAACAATCTACAGATTCAAATATTGATCCTACTAGATTTATTGATGTCAAGCCAAAATATTTAAATACAGCTTTATCACAAGTTGAAAATGAATATGATCAACTTGATGATGATGAAAAGGTTGTGCCTAAAGTAAATATAGAGGAAGTGTTTGAGGAAGATGATGTAGTAGCCAGCTTCAGACAAGAAAAGGAAGATGAAAAGAACAAAGACAAACCTGAAGATATTATACTGAGTTTACCAGGATGGGGCTCTTGGGGTGGTAAAGGTGTGAAACCACAGAAGCGTAGAAAAAATAGGTTTATAATCAATGCTGCACCCAAAATGCCACGACGTGACGAAAATAAAGGAGATATTATTATTAAAGAATACAAAGATCCTAAACTAGTTTCACATAAAGTTCAAGATGTGCCATTCCCATTCGAAAGTGTGAAAGATTATGAAGCATCAATAAGAGCACCTTTAGGCAATACTTTTATACCAGAAAAGGCACATAAGAAACTCATTCGTCCTAGTATAATTACTAAAGCTGGAACAATTATTGAACCAATGGATGAAGAGGAACTGCTTGTACCAAAAAATCGAAGTTTTAAAAATGAAGCTGTTATGAAGATATTAGGATGTAAAAGTAAAAAACAAAAGATTACAATAAAGTAATTTTTATTTAAGATTATATTTAATTTACTCTAAACACCTACTCTGACAGGTGGTGAAACTAATATAACACCATCACCCCTTACAAATAACATAGGTATATTCCTCTTAGTTGTTCTGTACACTTCTTCATATGTTTCTTCATCTATTTCAACTGTTGTGATAGTCTCTTCTGCATCACCAAGCACCATATTCAAATGCTGGTCATAAGCCTAAAAATAATAATTATAAACAGTCATAATATCTCTTTTCTTTACAAACTTTACATATAAAAAGCCATATTGTCATTAAGATTTTGATTGTCAAAAAACCACCTTTGACCTAAATTTGATCAAAATGAAATTATAACAGTTCTAACATGACTTTAAAGGGTTATAACAAATTTCAGGTTTCGCTATTGAACCTGTGGCAATAAATTATAAGTGACGAACAGCACAATGGTGACAAACCTAATGACATATCTAGAGCATGTCATCATCAAGAGCCCATAATAGTCCACAGCTGGACATAGGCCTCTTTACCACACTAGCCAGACAGGTTGGTATTTGGTTTGTGTCAAGTTTTCCTTCCCTTTGCAGTGCCGTTGACCTGCATAGTTGGTTCCCGTAGTCTCTTACGAAACCCACAGAATGAATAGAGGTGGTGACACTCAGTATTCTTACTCTGTCACCACAAGGGATAGCATTTATGGCCCCTTTAATGTAGGATAGATGAACAAGTTTAAATAGAGTAGTGGTAAATTCATTAAATAATAAATCCTACAGTGCTCTGACCCCCTTCAATCGTATATACTTAAAAACAAAGATTACATACATGCAACTTTCCTCGCAGCTCTCGTTCATTGCGCATTTTTACATATATTCTCTCATCCAAACTCAGTCTTATGAGGTCCAATGGTTCCTTAACTGTCATAACAGAAATCTGTAACAAACGTTAATATAATGCTTGTATATTGTAATAGACCATAAAAAAATAAATGAATTTATGTTGCAATCTTACATTTTCGCCATCCTCAGCCATGATTGTTTATCAGACTTCCTATCCGTTTCTCAGAGAGTATGTTAGAGTTAGAGATGTTCAAGATAGGTTACCGCCCTGTTAACATGGAAGTGGAATGAAGTAAGTTTTATGTTTACCAATAAACTAACACACGAAGAGCGGTTAGTTAGAACATTTTGAGGTTATAATTTTGACAGGTTAGGGCTAAACTACTAGGGGTAGACACACTAGACAGAAAAACAATAAGAAAAGAAGGAAAATTAGTATTTAAGTTGGAAAAAGAAAATTGTCTAGTTTTTACTTTTTGTCGTTTGTATTTCAAAATCATACAAAATAAAAGTAAATCAAAGGACAAGAAGGTGGATCAGGAGGAAAGGTGTGTCGCACCTAATACCAAGTGGCTGGCTCTTCCTGTCTAGGATTTCAAAATATACATGGGTAATTCGCCAAAGTCTTGTTTTTTTCATGTCCCGCAAAGCGAACACTACTTTTTTGCTTTAAATAGTCTCCCTATTTTTTTTTAATTAAAGTTTACTTTATTTCCAACTTAGTTTGTTTATAAAACATAAAAAATCATAAATATAACAAAGCCTAGGTCAATGCAAACATTCTAATTCTAATTTCCTTGGTATGTCCCCTACACAAAATTTCTTACATCTTAATTTATATCTAAACTCAGAGGTATTTTTTAAATTTCTTATTTGCTATTGTATGTTTAATTACTAAAAAGGTATTTAAAAAATACATGTAATCAAATGCAATCATTGGGAATATGGAATTAAATGGCATTTTGTACATGTCCACGTACAAATTATAATTTCCTTGGGCTGTACGTTCGACACTTGTAATAATAAAACGCATGTATTTCAAAGATATAAAGTTACACATTTCGATTCGTCCATTTCGCCGCGACAGTCCACGGGAGCAGGACGTGCGTATCGCTGTTCAATTTCGCGCCATTCACGTAAGTACGTCCCTCCTTGGTCTTTGGTTCAAAGATATAATAATTTCTGTGGCCGTTATTGCTAATCATTATGGTCGCTATTTCAGTATTGTTTCCATTGAATTAGCATTGTTTTCTGGGGTAAAACCTTTAGTTTAAGCCTTTTATACTTTCAGTGATTAGTTTATTTGCAATGATGTTTTTATCACTTAAAACTAATTTCCTTGGCACTAATTTCCGTGTTTTCCATGGTTTTTTAAATTACCATGGAAATTATAAAATGGCAAGGAAATTATAACGAATAGTATAATTTACGATATTTAAACTACTACAGGATACATAAAATGGGCAGAACGAAGAAAAAGCAAACAAGGGAAGAAAAATTAGAGAAAAAGAGGTTGGCAGAACGTAGAAGATTGCAAAAAATAAAAAATGATCCTGCATTATATGAAGAATTTAAAATTAAAGACAGGGCGAGGTATTATAAAAAGAAAGAACAAAAAAAAGTAGTTCCTATAAGTGAAATGACACCCCGCAGACAACGGACTCAACGAAAAAGAAATAGAGACAATTTTAAAGCATATTATTCACGACAGAAAAATAAAAAAAGATTAGATACGTTACTTTCTGAAAATAGCCCTCCTGAATCAGGCGATGAATTGCCACCACAACCAATAGTTGAGAATTCCACAGTAGCTACAAATAGTTGCCCTCCATCGCCTCTTTCTTTATCGCGGTGCAGTCGGTCCCAAACAAGAAGCAATAGGGTACAGAATACATACCATGACCAGTTGATTATTTCTTCTCCATGTCCAAGTGATTCATGTAATGTTTCAGTAGTTTCGAAATCTACTTTTAGAAGATATCAGTACAAAAAAACTAAAATCATCCAATCATTACAGAAGAAAATCGTAGAGTTACAGAGACAACAAAAATCTTTCAGAAAACAAGTACAACGACTGCAAGTAAAGAAAATTGTAACAAACTATAAAGAGACAGAAGGAAGTAAGAATCGCACTAAAGAACTTAAAAGTAAACATGCAAGTAAAATTCATACATTAAAATTATCCGTTCAAAGATTCCTTTCAGATGATGAAAACAGCAGGCTTTGTCCAGGAAAAAAGGATTACATTTCTAAAAATATGATTAAGCACCAAAAACGTTATTTATCTGACTCGCTACAAAACTTACACCAAAAATATGTGAAAGAATATCACAATGTTCATTATGGTACTTTTTGCAAGTTAAGGCCGTATTGGATTTTAGTTCCTAGTGTTAATGTTCGTGATACTTGCGTGTGCAAACTGCACGAAAATATGGCTTTACTGATAAAATCATTGAAAGCTAATAAGATTATTTTTGAAAGTAATCCTACTGAACTAGTGCAGAACTTAACTTGTGACCGAAACAGGACTAATTGTTTACAGAGAAACTGTGATCATTGTAGACATAGAGTTATAAACTACAAAGAATTCGACAACACCCAAAAAATAACGTACAGTTCATGGGAAACAAGCAATCAGTCTTATACAAAACAAGGTATAGAAAAGAAAGGGTACATCACGGAGAAAATCAAAATAACGAATAGTCCTTTAAATATTATAAAAAAGTTAGAATGTGATCTCAAGCCATTCATGAATCATTGCGCCAATATTGTTAACCAAAGTCTGGCTCTTAGAAATACCAAAGATAATTTAAAAACCTATGAGTGCGTACTTCACATAGACTTTAGTGAAAATTATAACACCAAGTTTGGCACGGAAATACAATCAATGCACTTTGGAGGCAACAGGAAACAACTAACACTGCATACGGCAGTCCTTTATTATTATAATCAAACTACTGGATCCAAAGAAACTAAATCAATTTGTACACTGAGTAAGTGTTTACGTCACGATGCCGCCGCCGTTTGGGCGCATATAATACCTTTATTAAAGTATATTGAAGAAAATTGTCCACATGTTAATTCAATCCACATTTTTTCGGACTCACCATCTTCACAATACCGCAATAAAAGGATTTTCTACATGATATCAAAGCTTTCTTGGTACCTACCGAAGTTGCACAGCGTTACTTGGAACTACAGTGAGAGTGGACATGGAAAAGGAGCCCCAGATGGCGTAGGCGGTGTTCTTAAACGAACGGCTGATAAACATGTTGCCTACGGTAATGATATTGCTAACTTAGATAGCTTAGTGTTATTTTTAAGAGAAAAAGTTACTGGTGTATTAATAGAGGTGGAGGTGGTGGACGAGTATAACGTCTTAGAAAAAGATTTATTATTTCCGCAAAAGTTACCAGTCTTTTCGGGATCGATGAAGGTACATCAAGCTGTTTGGAACTCCCAAAGCAGAGATTATGTCACTTTACGTAGTATGACATGTGTTCTTCCAGACTGTTTTTCAACTACTATTGTCTGCGGTCATGGCAAACATATAGGCTTTTATAAAATTGAAAATCCATTAGAATGTGAAACTCAAGTTAATGTCAACAAGAAAATTAAGGTTTTATCTGAAGTGATTATTAAACCTAACCTTGCCAAGAATTACAAGACAAACCACCTAAATTTGCCAAATGTATCTGTTTTTTCATATAAAAATAATGTTGAAGAACCCAATAAAAAAATTACTTGTGATTTAAGTATGAATTCTTTAAAAGACGAAGAAAATATTTCTCCGATTACGCTTGGGTCTTGGGTTCTGGTTGAGCTTAAAATTAACAAGCGTATTGAAAAGTGTGTTGCTTCGGTGTTTGATATTAGAATGAGTGATTATCATGTTATTTTTTTAGATCATGTTGATGGTTTACTGTACACTTGGCCGAATCATGGCGATATTGATATAATTACTACCAGTTCTATAAAAAGAGTCCTTAAGGAACCTACTATTAAAAACGATGGTGAGATTTTGTTTCAAGCTTTAACTTAAGCTGGTCCAAGGATTTAAATGTTGATTCAACTTATATCCCAATTATTTTCAGAAGATACTGTTTGTCTATTTATTTTTTTTATCTTGTTTTTATTGCTTACAAATTTTATATGTAGTTTGGTTAATAAATCCAAATTAGATATTTTTGGTTCATTAGTGACGTTTTTAATAAGTATAGTGTTTACTTTGTTACCTGAAACTATGAATAAGCCTTTAATTATATTATTTTGTTTGTGTGATTACTTTGATTACTTTGATTAAATGTGAATCATGATTACTAAACGTTGTTTCTTTTTTGTTTTTGATTACATGCATACTAAAAATGGCATTTTTCTAATATCCACGACATAGTCCTAATTTCCTTGCAATAGACACATAATTTCCTTGAAGCCTTCCTAATTTCCTTGTCTGACAAAAATTTCGGAGCCTATAACTTTTTTCTGGCACCACTTAGAAAGTCCCCTTCCATATTAAAAAAACATGTTTTGGATCTTCTAAGTAATGACCAATCAAGCTGGCATTTATTCAGAAAAAAAAATCATTCCATGGAAATTAGGCAAAAATTAAGATTTTTGGCGAATTACCCACATATAAAAACTTGATGAATGGAAATAACTTAAACTAGTGGTTGAAATCAATACTACCTATTCTGTTAAATTAAATTAAACGATCTCTGTATTTCTTTAAGTACCTTAAACTGAACTTCAAATAAAAAATGAGCATTCAAATACCCGTTGAACTTCTTGCATATATGCATCAAGAGGATCAATCTCTTCTTCAGCTTTTTGTTTTTTTCTTTTGCTACTGATTTTTCTGTGGCCTCTCCGTCTTCACCTGTATAAGAACATTAGTTGGTTATTTTTCTAAAATGTAATTTACTTTAGTCACTAAGTGTATTGTTCCATCGAAAATTTATTGACAATATTATTAATTTACTTAGAAGTACTTTCTATTATGAAGCTAATTAGTTAATATCTTTTAAAATTATTTACATGACTGTCTGTAGTAGTAAAACTTTTGTTGTTTAGTTAGTTTGATAAGTTTAACACAATAGAGAAAAGTAATGCAGTTTTGAAAATATAACTCTATACTCTATCTAATATAACTCTATCTTTTCGGGAGAATCTTTTGCCCTATTGGAAGCTCTCTGGAAGCTATGTGGAATCTCATAAGGTTGATAAGTCCCTAATTTTGTTAGAGTCCTTGAGCTGCCTACAAGATCTTTTTAAAAATCCATGCAAAGCTTGCTATAATTTAACGATCATTCTTAAAATTAAAGAGGTTCTTCACAGGCATCTGTTAAGAACCTCTTTAATTTTAAAAATGATGATGATGATGATGATATTGTCTGGTATTGAAATAGTTCTAGAAGATCTCCAGTCATTCAGGCTTAGCTGGCAATGAAACTGCAGACTCCGCGCCAAAATAGCAGCACAGACTGGATGCGCATCCCATAAATTCTGTTTCTCAGGGATTCCTTTATTCACTCTGGAACATATTTTCTTCTCTTGTCCTAAGTTAGTTTTCCTCTGTATGATCTACTCCCTCGACAAAAATCCCGACCCGTTAATTTGGCTTACCTCTTAACTGTAGTACATACCCCATTTGCCAAGATGCTTCACAATTTTATTCAAATAAATAAAATAAAGTTATAATGTCTTCTGATACTTTGACAACCATATTATAAAACCCCTTTTTTCCTCCTTAAAGACAGAACCACGAACAGAAACTGTTAGAATCACAACAATTCCCTCTTATCTATGTTTTGTGTACAGGTATTATAATCATATAACAATTTCTTAGGTTTTAGAAAATTTTCTAGTTAACATAGTTTTCATGACTTCATGACTTCTTTTATGTTAACAAAATTGTCTAATCATCTTGATAATTGATCTTTACAGGGCCACTAGGGCAATGCATAAGTAAATTAAATTGGGCTGAGATCGTTTCGTGTCAATATTTAGTCTGTCTTCAAGTGGCATACAGTACTGTGGTTATTTGAAACGGACCAAAGTTATCCTTTACTTAACATTGAAACTAAGAACCAACCATTCGTTATCTTTGTTCGTAACGCAGCACTAAGTAAAACATGGTCGACTTTTAATTTGACAGCTATCTATTTGACAGCTTCAATTCGTCAACGCGTCTTACACATTTGGGTATATTGTGTTTAATATGAATAAAGATTATTCTAGTTTAATAGGTGGTAAAACAACATAAATTGGTAGTAATTAAAAAGTTTTATAATAATGGTCAGAAGTGGGTAGGTATTGAGGACGGTTTTATTTTTAAATCTTGATCTATATTTGTACACTAAATAGAACTTAAAACTTTTCTTTTAAATATTTACAGGCGTGACCGCGATAGAGACCGAGATCGGCGAAGGTCTCATAGTCGGTCTCCAACACCTGAACGTAAGAGGAAAAGGTCTAGGTCTAAGTCGAGAGATCGTGCATCTAAATCGTCGAAGAGAAAGCGTAGCCGTAGTCGGGAGAGAGAGTCGAAGAGAGACCGCAGTAGAGACCGAGAAAGAGATAGAGACAGAGAGAGGGATCGAGACAGGGAACGTGATAGAGACAGAAAGAGGTTTGTCATTGAAATACTTTATTAAAATATTGTCTCAAAACAATGGTTACTTTGTTTACCACTTCTTTTACATGCAAATGCAAGCCTTATAACAAAATGTTATAGACAGTAAAGGCATGGCATTCTTGTTTTCCATTAGCCATATCTATTCAGGGCAGTGTTAACTTCTTGTAACTTTGTTGTTTTATATATATATATATATATGGGTAGGGTTCGACAGGGCAGTGATACCATGACTTCACAGAAAACTGGTGCTAAGCAATTCTTTTTCACTTTTTGCAAGTGAGTGAGGTCTTCAGCTCCCAAACCCCTTCTTCTCCTGACTCCTCCCTAGAGGGAAGGAGTGAAAGGTTGGCAACGCACTTGTCACTTGAGTTATAGATGTCCATAGGCAGCAGTAGTTAGTTACCACCATGAGACTCCTCAGGTTGTTTGCCCCTATACATAAAGTCAGGATGACAGAGAGAAATGTATGTATGTTATTATTACTCTTGTATTATGCATTCCATAACCTAAACCTCCTTTCTAAGGAGAGGCCTATGTCCAGCAGTAAACTATTAAAGGCATGATGATGATGCATTCCATAACTCATCCCAATACCTATTACCTTAAATGAAGTTTATTGGAATTCTGGAACACTTATACTTTAAATATACATTTTCCAGTGATAAACGTGATGATAAAAGAAATGGATCCAACAGCAAGTCCTCTAGAAAGAAATCACCAGAGAAGGAAAAAGAAAGGTCCAAATCAAATGAGAAAACAGTCAAACATGATTCTTCTGAGTATGATCCAGGGACAGTAGATAAGGTATGTACAGATAGGGTTACTGTTACATTTGTGTAGTTTTATTTAATTTAAAGTTAGCTTTAAGACCTTGGATTGACAAGTACTTCAAAAAACTTCTTTCTTGAACGAATATCCAAAGCATCATTGCTAGGCTTATATCAAATATGGTTAGGTAGAGGAATTAACACAGCAGACAGTGGAGGTGAGCGCTGACGCGTCGTAAGAAGTACTCCCTAAATCTATTCCTGAGTCGCAATTCTATACCACTGTCGACTTTGCATGTGTTGCCCCATCTATCACGTGATTTCCGCGGTACCTGCACAGTGAATCCATGGAACGTTAAGAAATAGGTCTATTTAATTTATCCAAAATATTGAACGATAATAAAATATTAATAATAATAATTCATACCTATTTTAGGGGATCAAAAAGATTGTTTACTTGTTATTTGCAAAGTAAAAATAGTACAAAAATAACATAAAGTTTTTTACAGGAAGAAGAGCAAAGTCGTTTAGAAGCAGAGATGCAAAAGCGTCGTGAGCGTATTGAACGTTGGCGAGCAGAGCGTAAACGTAAAGAAATAGAATCTGCCAAAAAAGAGGTGCAGAAAGGGAGTATTGTAACCAACATACAGGTGCCTGCTACTAAGAAGTGGTCTTTGGAAGATGACTCTGCTGATGAAGGTAAAAATGTTTTATTAATGAAAAAAATATTTAAAATCATCTGTATGGTGATGGATTACGAATACAGAGTATCACCACACCTATTCTTCCCATGGGTGTTGTAAGACTAATGAAGCACACTATGCAGGGCAACAACACTGCAAAGAGAAGGAAAACTTAAATTAAACCCTATACCAACCTGTCTGGCTAGGGAGGTTTACTAGGAGAAAACCTCCTTTCTAAGGAGAGACCTATGTCTAGCAGTGGACTGTTAAAGGCTGTATCAACAGCCTTTAACAGTCCACTGCTAGACATAGATGCTAGACATCTCAATAAAAATTAAGACCTAAATTGTTCAGTGATCATGCAATTTGAGAAAACTTAGTTACATTGCCTTGTTTTAATAATATTTTAAATTTTAAAATTATCTGAAAGATTGGAAATATATATATTTGTTACAGTATATATATGTACATTGCTTTGCTATATATATGTACATTTTTGGTTAAAAAACTGACTGTAACATATAAATAGATTAAGTACTATTGCTCAATGTCGACCGACATTGAGCAATAGTACTTTTGACTGCTGCATCAGATACATAGATGTTGCATTCAAAAGGTCTTCTACATGTTAATCTATAACACAGGCAAAGGCAAAAGCAGTTCAGTACTGTTTTTTTCATAATAATTATTATTTTGATGAACACATTTTCAAAACTGCATTACTTTTCTCTATTGTGTTAAACTTATCAAACTAACTAAACAACACAAATTTTACTACTGGAGACAGTCTTGTAAATAATTTTAAAAGATATTAACTAATTAGCTTCGTAATAGAAGGTGCTTCGTAAGTAAATTAATAATAATATCAATAAATTGTCGATGGAACAATTCACTTAGTGACTAAAGTAAATTACACAATAGAAAAATAACCACCTAATGGGCTTGTACAGGTGAAGATGGAGAGGCCAAAGAAAAATCAGTAGCAGAAGAGAAAAAACAAGAAGCTGAAGAAGAGATTGATCCTCTTGATGCATATATGCAAGAAGTTCAGCAGGTATTTGAATGTTTATTTTTTTATTTGAAGTTCAGTTTACTTAGGTACTTAATGAAATACAGAGTTTGTTTAATTTAATTTAATAGGATAAGCAGTATTGATTTCTATTCGATTCATTCCATGAAGACATCAAGTTTATAGATATATATATATATTTTGAAATCCTAGACAGGAACAGCCAGCCACTTGGTATTAGGTGTGCCGCACCTAATACCGAGTGGCTGGCTGACCTTTGATTTACTTTTATTTTCTTAACAAACTTTGCCAAAGTAGATGGTTGATAATAGCAAAATTGATAATAATTTTTTTTTTGTGTTTGAATATTTAAAAATACGAAACTATGACAGTTAAGTTGCAGATGGGATAGAAAACATGTGCGTGTTGTCTGGTACCTAAAAAGGTATTAAAGTGTAGGATAGTATTAGAATTCATAGAAAAAAACTTACATGAATGAGGATAATTAGCATATAATCCGGTAGTACCCACTAAAAACTTGGCTTGTATTTTTGGAGTGTTTCCTTTTCTGTTCGTGACGAATTATTGCTAACTGGATTTTGATTTGTGCTTCTGATACTGCTAGAAGATGACGATCTATGCTAACGAGAAATATTCTGTTTTTTCCGGATTCTGCCAATGTACTAGATCGACTTAACCAGTAACCCTGTATATGCGTGTGTGCATGGCATATTGGTCTTCATATGTGCTCTGTTGTATATATGTAATTATCACTGTATTTTACTCTACATTTTTTAACATTGTTAATAGGAGGTGCGTAAAGTAAACCAGATTGACCAGGCCAGAGGAATTATAAATGTGCCGACTACAGGCGGCACTATCGTAGTCGTCACAGGGACTGCTAAAAAGAAAGTATCTGAACAGAAAAATAAAGGTAAGTATTTTGGCTAAGCTTATGCTGAAATGTAGTGAAAACAAATTACATAGTACAAACTAGAATAGGCTTTTATTGTAAGTTGAGTGCAGGACAGTCGTTTTATAAGGTATAAAAAGTGTAGTGTTAATTATTCATCTAATTTATTCAGGTTATAATCAACAATTATAAGTAACAAGATTTTAGATGGTCAATGTCAAATTGTTAATGTGATGAGCTGGGGGTTGAAGTGAGAGTAGTGAGTTTGTAGGTTATATGCCGTATTTTAGTAAATAATTTTATATTGTGCTTTTGAAGTAGTGTTTGTGTGGTTCTGTTGTAATCATAGTGAAAGTTGACAAGGATGCCCCCTTGATGGGGGCGGTATATTACCCCTGACAAACCCAGAGCTCGTTCAGGAGATGAATCCATCCAATCAGTTTACTCTAAACCGGGATTTGAGTCGGATTCTAGGCTTAGTACTCAGCACAAGGGTATCTAGACTTTAACCTGACCCATCATCCGGCCTGTCTCTTAAAGCCCTTAAATTCGATCAGTTATTATTTAAACTTAGAATACCTGACGTTGTGGAAGGTGCAATCAAAAATACGGGCCGAAATAATGCCTGTATGGAATTCGCCTCAGGTTAATGTCTTAATAGTTTCCTGAATTTCTCAATTGTAAGTGAAAATAATTACGGAGCACATATTATATAATAATATAATATCTGTTTGGGTCACTCCTAACTCTGTTGTTATCACATTTTTGCGTCTCTGCCTGTATTTCTTCACCTTATTATTAACCTACAATTCAATGCAGGAATTGTGGTCGATTTGGCAACATTGCTAAACAGTGTAGGTCTCAGCCCTGATGCTATAAGTGTGCTCAGCTACACTCTAGTGAGTCTTGCCTGGTCCCTGACACATATGCATCGTGGCTTTTATGTCGTGGTGGTACTACTGCTACTGATAGCAGATGCCCCGAACATAATAGACAGAAATCAATTAAAATTGTTATGTCTCAGGAAAACCTGAGTTACTTGGAAGCATCAGCAAGATTTACACAGTCTTTCGCGACTATATTCTGAGACCGCTGCCAGTTCTAAATCCTCTGCTAACGTCCGTCTAAAACCCCAAACTCATCCATACTCCATACAGGGAGTACTTCTGCTTGTCCTTTTAAATCATACAAAAAAACATTCAACCTTCCCCCACGCCTTATATCTGCCGTTTTTGCTTTGTTGGTCAATAGGAATATCCCATTCTTTCAAATCTCATTCCCAAACCATACTCCTGGCTTAAATATTGTGGACCTCAGATCTTTTAATGTTTCCTTTGTCTGTTAACATCCCCACAACACAATTTCTTTTTTCTAATTAAAAACAATTCTTCCAACCATACCCTCCCCTATGATTGTTTTAGGTAACCTTAACTGCCGTCACATCTATGAGGCTTTCACTATATCGACCCATATCTTACTTGACGTTATGGATGATTGTAACTTGTGCAATCTTAAAGATGGATCTGCAACTCGTACAGTTTCCCTATCTCAAAATATTGTACCAGATCTTACACTATTTTCTCCTGCCCTAGTCTCTCTCCTATCTTGGTCTCCCCTTCCAAACTCCATATGGGGTAGTGATCACTTTCCGATTTTAATCTCTTACTTTCCCTCTGCTTCATATGCCTCCCAAACCCTACATCCCCTTTTCAAATACAGAGTTCCCCAAGCCAATTGGAACGACTTTGTAACATCACTGGATTTAAATTTAGCCTCACTCATTCAAACAAATTCCTCTAATTTTCTTCTTCTCTATGACCAATTTATCTCTGCAATTAACTCAGATGCTGATTGCTCTAAATAACCGCCTTAAACAACCTTCCCGTAGATTGACTTCTACCCCTTGGTGGGATTCAATTCAATTCGTTTATTGCACTGCATAATGTATACACAGGTCTTATAAATGCAGAAAGAAACAATTATGGACAAACAAACATTCTATCATCATTAAGCATATTGAAATGTATTTTAGTAAATTGAGCTAAGTAGGTGTTTATTTATTTTATTGGATTCTGAGTGTACTGCCAGTGTTAGGAAGCGCAAAGAGGCTGAGAATAAATTTACTTCATTCCTTTCAATGTCGGATTTCCTCAATTTAAATATATATATATATATATATATTTGTTTAAATAAAATTTTAAATCTTATTACTTTTATGTCAGGTGAACTAATAGAACAGAATCAAGATGGACTAGAATATTCTTCAGAAGAAGAGACAGAGGATATTAAAGATGCTGCAGCGAATCTGGCGTCTAAACAGAGAAAAGACTTGGCTAAAGTTGACCACGCTAGCTTAAACTACATGTCTTATAGAAAAGCTTTCTATACTGAGGTAAACTTTTCACTCTAATGTCTTTGTCGGTGGATTGAAGGTGATGTCAGGAAGTGATACTCTTTTATTTTGGCTACTGAAGCCTAAACCCCTCTTCCTCCTGATTCTCGGGGGACTTGCGAGTTGCTAAGCGGGAGTTAGTATCAGGTGACCCGTCTACTCGTTTGCCCTACTATGCCTTAAAAAAATTTTTTTTTATAGGTAAGTGAGCTGGCAAGAATGACTCCTGAAGAAGTGGAAGCCTATAGAACGGAGTTGGAAGGTATTAGAGTGAAAGGTAAAGGCTGTCCAAAGCCGATAAAATCTTGGGCCCACTGTGGTATCAGCAAGAAAGAGATGGACATATTAAGGAAGTTAAACTTTGAGAAACCAACACCTATACAAGCACAGGCTATACCTGCTATTATGTGTGGAAGGTAAGTGTCTAGATATAACGTTAACTACCTTTTATAGTTTTATCATCATTCAGTCATCAGTTCTAAGTATTATCATATTCCTTTTTTTTATATATATTCAATCGATATGCAGATGTAAAGTAACGTGGACTGCACGGATGGTGTAGTGGTTTAAGCGGTCGCCACGCCGCTTCCTACTGCGCTGAGTGTTGTGGGTTCAAACCCTACATGGGACGACACTTTGTGTGATCCACAAATTGTTGTTCTGAGTCTGGGTGTTCTTTGTGTCCGTTTCATGTATGTTTGTAAAGTCCTAAAAACTAACGGTTTTGGCCAAAATAATTTATTAAAAACATGTATTTAGAATGAAAGCAGTAATAGACATAAATTGCCTTGTAGTACTAATTGTAGTGTTGTAATTGGTTTCATTTTGACTCGCGAAGCGTGATTGCTAATTGATCACCCTAAATAATATTACGATTTAAGTATTTAAATAAGTATCAATATTTACTATTATTTCATCATCAACAGCCTTTAATAGTCCACTGCTGGAAATAGGCATCGAAAGGAAGTTTTGTCTTAATTTACGGTTGTTATACGGTTTGTGTCAAGTTTTCCTTCTCTTTGCAGTGCTGTTGTCCTGCGTAGTCGATTATTGAACTTATTTTGTAAATTTAATATTATATCAGGTACACACACACAAACAAATGATTTATTTTGCAGTTTAAGTACAAAGTACCTATAATAATATTGTTTTAATTTATAGAGACCTCATCGGTATTGCAAAGACTGGATCTGGCAAGACTCTTGCCTTTATCCTTCCAATGTTTCGGCACGTGCTCGACCAGCCACCTTTAGAAGACACAGATGGACCCATGGCTCTTATAATGACTCCCACAAGAGAGCTGTGCATGCAGATCGGCAAGGACATCAAGAAGTTCGCCAAGTCGCTAGGGTTGAGGGTTGTTTGTGTGTATGGCGGTACCGGTATTTCTGAACAGGTATCCATTCAGTAAATTTTTCTTTATTTAACGGTTAGCTAATAGTAATTAAGTATAACTATGTCCTTGCTGTTAAATTGTCTCAGTCTCTAACATCTTAATCTTAAGGCGTTTATTTAACTTATGGCGCCTTCGGAAATGTAAATCTTGCAAGACATGTACTAGCATAGACCGAGCGCTCTCACTAGCTCACCGAGACAAGTTGGACCCCCTGCAAGACATGTAATACCTCCGTTTCATTGTTACGTTACGGTTGAGGTGAGGAAAAATGTAATAATAAATATATATTGTGTATTTTTCACACATCTCACACAGGACAGTCTGATCCTAAAATAGACATAGCTTGTGGTTTGGTAACCAAATTGCTGATAAACATACTTAAATACTTCAAAAATATTATATCATGATGTATTACATCCACACACAACAAATAATCGTGTTTATCACACAATTGTTTGTCCTGGGTGGGAATCGAACCCACGAACAGCGGCTTAGCAGTCAGTGTCACCAGCCACTAGACCAACAGGCTAGTCAGTAACTGTCAGTCAATAAGTATTACACACTGTTGATTTCCCTGACGTTTCGACTAGGTTGCATTGGTTGACGTCACGGCATATGCGTGTGTATTACGTGATCATGATCTTTCCCTAATATATGCATAATTATATATAATTTTAACAGGTAGTTTAATATTGTTTTTAGATTGCGGAACTAAAACGCGGTGCTGAAATGATAGTATGTACACCTGGTCGCATGATAGACATGTTGGCGGCTAACTCTGGCCGCGTGACGAACCTGCGAAGAGTTACATACATCGTGCTGGATGAGGCCGATAGAATGTTCGATATGGGCTTCGAACCTCAAGTGAGTTATCTTGTATTTTAGCTTTCTCCAATGCAAAAAATTTTTTATGTATTTTTATTTATCAATTAGTAAATAAGCATCATCTGTATGTATGTAAGCAGTATGTAGCTGTATGTATGTAGTGTGTCTATATGTATACAACATAACTACTCGATCCCTACTATATGCATTTGGTTTCAAAGAGGTTCTCAACCTTTTATATTTATATAAGTAATTAATGTATTATATTAAAAATAACACATTATGTATTTTTAGGTTATGAAGATCATAGATAATGTGAGACCAGACCGGCAGACTGTGATGTTCAGTGCTACTTTTCCGCGACAAATGGAGGCTTTAGCGAGAAGAATATTACAGAAACCGATAGAAGTTCAGGTATTTAAAATTAAATTGCCTTCACATTTTGATCTAGTCTAGTAGTTTTGATTTTTAATGGCTAGTCTTTTTCGAGCATATTATTAAATCTAATAGAGACAAATAGAAGAATGAAATATAAAAACTAGACTTGCAACGAATAGTATATTCGGCAGTATACCGAATACCGAATATTCGGCGAGGCCCCTGACCGAATAGCCGAATATTAGGCAAAAGTATTCGGCTGGATTTTAGCGCCAAAAACTTGTACAGACGTGAATTAAATTATGTACCTGTTTATGTACCAATGACTACTTAATAAATGATTTTAAAAGAAATGAGAACCTTATCCTTCTAAATGTTGATTACCACAATAATTCAAATACATAGAATCCTCCATTTTTCCTATTCAGTAGATGATTATGTAGCTGTGTTATGTACCAATGACTACTTAAATGATTATAACAGAAATGAAAATATGAATATATATGTAATCAATCGATTTTAATTTTTCATTTTACCAATTATTTCTCAATGACAAAATATATTATTTAAGTATTCGGTATTCGGCCGAATAATATGTAGATATTCGGTATTCGGCCGAATATAATAAAAGCAGCCGAATAGGCCGAATACCGAATAGTAACCGAATATTCGTTGCAAGTCTAATAAAAACCAATTTGCGAATTTTCGTGTATTTCTAACTTTCAGTTTCAGCTCTATGCAAAGCTATTGTACTCTTGAATGTCTATTTTGAATGTCTATTGTTAATTTACGAAATTGACAACTTCTACTTTCTCAATAACGTGCATTACATTTAAAGCAATTCATTTATCAATTGCTACAATCTCAGAGATCTACAAGTTCAATAGTTTTATCATTTATGCAATTTACAATCACTGTAAAATTGAATGTTTAGTTTACTTAAATTATCAATTTATCTTTTGTCTTTTAGGTTTTTCATTTAACTGAGTTTAAAGTAAGCTTTGAGTTTAATTTATAGAACATATAATATGAGACCTTTTCGGTAGGTTGGCGGACGAAGTGTGGTGTGTAAAGACGTAGAGCAGCATGTAGCCATTTTAGAAGAAGACGCCAAGTTCTTCAAGCTGTTGGAGTTGCTAGGACTGTACAGCCAATCGGGGAGCATCATAGTCTTTGTAGACAAGCAAGAAAACGCTGATAGCTTGCTCAAGGACCTCATGAAGGCCTCATATTCTTGCATGAGTTTACACGGAGGTGAGATTTGGTGTTGCCTTTCTAATTATGCTCTGGCATGTGAAGTGGTTTGTGAAGCTTTTGATTTTAACGTTAAACATTGTCGACTTCTTACTATTTTATTGAAAAATATATGCCGTCTAAGGACTTTATTTAAAAAAGCCTTCAAACATTGTACATCATTAAAACTCTTACTAGCATAAATTCATGGCGCTAAGATCAGAAGATTGCTTGTAGTTGTAGTCAGAAAAATATTTAAAGATCACACAATGATAAGCAAGCTGGTTTAGCTTAGTGATGCTTCAAATCTAATTAAAAAAAATACTAAACGAACTATTCAAATTATTCAAAGGACATGGATAAGTTAAAAAGTTTAACGTAAAACAAAACAACTACAGGCCTATCATTTTTTTGCAGGTTACATTTATGACAGTTCAATCTTATGAACAAAGGGACGCATTGAATATCACCGCCCTATTTCAGCTTAATATTTTAAATTTCGATTCGATTAGGTTCTCTGCAGCTGCTACTACGGCCTACTAACTTTAATTAAGTTACTATTGTTTATATATGGATCTTTTTTTTATTTCCAACACAATTAGATAGAGTAGAATGCAGAAATATATTATCTTAACTATAATTAACTACATTTAACTTTACTATAATTAGTAAACTTAAAAATTCCAATTGATTGTTTACAAGAAAAACCACTTACTTCTTCTGCATAAGGAGGGGAGTAGACGGGGTAAGCTACTACTAGCTTTGGGCAGCTTTTGGGAAAGTACATTTTCTGATGAGTGCTTTTCATCTACAAAAATGTCTATTTCTTGATTTTAAGGATCGCAGAACCTTATACCCATATTATCAAAATGTATGCAAATTTTAATAATCGTCGGTTAACTAGTTAAGACATGAAACTGTAATAAACAGTTATACGCATTTTCCTTGAACTTTCGAATAATGAATTTATGCAATTGTTGTCTCACATTATAAGACGAGAAAAATGGGATAGCTAATTTTTTTCAATTTATTTTGACATTAAAGCGATCCGTGACGATTTTGACATTAAAGGGATCCGAGTGGTGACGGATTAAGAATACGGAGTGTCACCACCCCTATTCATCCCGTGGGTGTGTAAGAGACGACTAAGGGAGCAAACTTAGCAGGACAACAGCACTGCAAAGAAAAGGAAAACTTTAAACAAACCCTTTACCAACCCGTCTGGCCAATGTGATGTAGTAGGCCAAAACCTCCTTTTTAACGAGCATATGTCCAGCAGTAGACAGTCCAACAGTGTCAACAGCGAAAGGCTGTTGATGATGATGATTAAAGCGATATAAGATTTTAGTTGTCTAAAAAAGTTTTCATGTGTTTAATTAATTTACATCTGAGAGATTACATCTGAAGCATCATCTATGAGATTACAACTGAAGCAATATTAAAACTTAATATTGCATTACTTGTATTAAGAGTATTACTAAGGCAACGATCATATACAAAATATAGCATTAAATATATTTGATAGTATAATAGATAATGAATTAATTTACAAATCTACTAATAGATTATTTTGATTTTCAGCGACCAATGGATCCGGGCAGCGGCATAATATTATTTTTCCCCCACCCCCGTCATTTATAAGCGTGTTACAAAGTTAAAAAGAGGTTTCATTTTTTAACTGTAAAATGCATTAAATAATGCATTATATATTCGTACGTGTTTTTTCGAACCGAAATCAAGAAATAATAGTCAACTACATTAAATCACTATCACTTAAAAAAAGATTCAAGCAATTTTTTTTTAAACGCTTATAACTGCCGGCATTTTTTTTTGTTGAGTGACGAATATATTAATGATGACCTGTTACAGGGATTGATCAATTCGACAGGGACTCGACGATCGTGGACTTCAAGTCTGGGAAAGTGAAGCTGTTGGTCGCCACGAGTGTGGCCGCCCGAGGACTCGACGTCAAGCAACTGGTGCTCGTTGTCAATTATGACTGTCCGAATCATTATGAGGACTATGTGCATAGGTGAGTGTTTTTATTTATTTAATAGGGAAAATAAACAGTCACACAAATTATTACCTCACAGGCCGACGGCCTTTGTAGCGGCCTGGACGCCTGCAACGTTTATGCGCGGTGGTAGTCACTTTCCATCAGGTGAACCTTTCTGTATAGTTTGGCACCTATATCATAGAAAAATTCATACAAAGAAATAACTTGTGAGACCAAACACATTTCAACGTAATATTTTTAATAGTTTTCTTACGATATTCTAACTTTTCTAACTTAAAAATGGCGTGAGGAGTCTATTGACTCCCGGTCTTAACGAAGTTTAGCAAGAAGTGTCGGAAAAAGTCTTAGTACACATTTTTTGGTCTCGCTCCCATCCGCTCAAAGTGTACAACGCGCGATGAGGAACTTTGTTCCAAGAAAGGAATAATTTAATATTTGTATCAGAAACCTTTTAAAACAAGAAATCCTGTAAGTAAAAGAGATAGCTATAAGTAAGCCGACGTAGATGCGCTCGCAGACTTGCATTCGTATGAAAAGTTGAAACAGAAAATTATTAGTTTTTATAATTGATTATTGAACGGTTTTCAGTTATTGTTATTTTCAAACGAACTTCTTCTTACTGATTTGAAACATCCCAATAATACTTATGACATCTTATATGTTATTTACTTGCGACCGGCCTGTTCGTCTAGTGGTTAGTGACTAGTGGTTCGATTCCCAAATAATCGTGTGATGTGCATGATCATTTGTTTTGTGTCTGGGTGTAATTTATCTAACTGTATTTAGAAATATTTGAGTATGTTTATAAGCAGTACAGGTTCTGCCTAGTTTGGGGTCAGACGGCCCTGTGTGAGGTGTGTGAAATTATTATTATGAAGTAAAGTTAGTGCACATTAATACAGTAAGTTCAGTTAATTAGAGAAAGTGTATTTTGATGTTGAGAATTTCGTAAAAGTATATACTTGTTCGCAACTTTAAGTATTCGAAGACGTACACGCAAAAATCTTTACACTATTGACATAAGCTAAAGCCATAAATTATAAATATTAGTGTCTGGAATATCTTGACCGTCTCCGTCTCCCGGAACACGAGACAACCCACAATCAAAGTTAAAATTACACAAAATCACAATGTCAACATTGATATTGTTTAAACCGTTGAAATCGTGTTATTTTTTATGAGTTTCTCTGTCTCGATTCGCAGTAATACATGTATAATACATGTTAATAATACATGTTAGACATAGAAAACGGCCAAACTCCGAAACAAATATTGGCAGATAATACAAGCATTTGATCCGACCTGGGAATCGAACCCTCAGCACAGCAGTCGCATATGCTACCACTGCACCAACGAGGCAGTTAAACTTTAATAATATAAAGCATATTATACATTTTGGTAAAGAAAACAGTGTATTAGGGTAATTTTCACGAAATCCCGAAATTCGGCTATCTTAAAATGACACAGAATATTGAAATTATTTGATAGTTATTTTATGTGAATTTGATAGTACTAATGTTACTAGAATTAAATTATGTAGTGGTCCCAAAACTTACCGCGTTTTATGAAAGTTATGAGAACATTAAAATAAATCAAAGTGAGTGAGTGAATGACAATTAAGGTGAGGGAATGATTATTGTAGACAAGTCATGAAGCTTTTTAAATGAAATTAGTTTTCTTTCAATGAAATCTTTTTATTAAATGAAATTTTGTTCTTAAACAATAAGTAAGAGTAATTCCAGCAAATCACAAAATTTTTGCAGCACTTTGGCATAACTCTAATTTAAACTTATTTTTATTTATTATGGCACTTAATTAAATAACAATGACAACAAAATCCTTGCTAACTTAAAGATTCATCTAACAGCATTTTTAACAACAGAAAAACGTCTTATTTTAAACTAGTCTCACAGATAAAATGAATGTTTAGTATCAAAATCAACAAAACAAAATCTATAACTTAACTGGCTTTTTTCCAAACAAAAAATACTTCCTTTTTAAGTATTTTAAAATTTATAATCTTAAACGATTCAGTCTCAAAGTTACAATTAAAGTCTTAATCAGATATTTTAAACTAGTTTAACCTTACTATTAAAGAGTGAAATTACCTACTTTTAAAATTTGTAATCTTAAACGATTCAGTCTCAAAGTTACAATTAAAGTCCTAATCAGATAATTTAAACTAGTTGAAGTCTTTTAAAAAATAACAACCCTTTCTGATTAACTTTGGAGGCTCAATTTTCTTCAGAACGTCATGCCAGGCATATAACTGTTCATCTCTGATTTTAGGCCATTTCCAAGATTTAGTTCCTCTTTTCATACACTTTACTAAAGCGCCTTCCTCAGAAACTGATATTATTTCCCCTGGGTAAACATTTTCGTCCCATTTGATAAGTACATAATCACCAATATTATAAGTAGACTTGCAACGAATATTCGGTTACTATTCGGTATTCGGCCTATTCGGTTGCTTTTATTATATTCGGCCGAATACCGAATATCTACATATTATTCGGCCGAATACCGAATACTTAAATAATATATTTTGTCATTGAGAAATAATTGGTAAAATGAAAAATTAAAATCGATTGATTACGTATATATTCATATTTTCATTTCTGTTATAATCATTTAAGTAGTCATTGGTGCATAACACAGGTACATAATCATCTTCTGAATTGGAAAAATGGAGGATTCTATGTATTTGAATTATTGTGGTAATCAAAATTTAGAAGGGTAAGGTTCTCATTTCTTTTATAATCATTTATTAAGTAGTCATTGGTACATAAAACAGGTACATAATTTAATTCACGTCTGTACAAGTTTTTGGCGCTAAAATCCAGCCGAATACTTTTGCCTAATATTCGGCTATTCGGTCAGGGGCCTCGCCGAATATTCGGTATTCGGTATACTGCCGAATATACTATTCGTTGCAAGTCTAATTATAAGTGATATTATTGTCCGTACAAATAATATCATTTGACGAATGTCCATCATCATAAGATTTGTTTCGTGTTTTTAATTCAAAGGACTTTGGTTTTTCAATGCAATGTTTTGAAGATTTGTAATATCCCATGTGAAAATGTTTACACTTTTCTGCGCATTGACAACATGAAAGACTTCTAAATTCCAAGACATCATTACTGAAGACAAATTGACGAATTTTCTGGGTTCCACGAAATGCAGCAATGACGGTTGACTGTTTGACTAAGTCTTCTATCTTCGCGATATTAGCAGTGGTAATTTTAAATAGCTTTATTGAAGAACATCTTGCCTACAAAATTTCTTTGAGAGTTTTCAAATTTACGATTTCCTTGCCTTCAGCCACCGCTTTATCAGCTGTTCTTTTTAATGTGCCACCTACGCCATCAGGAGCACCTTTGCCATGGCCTGGTTCTGAATAATTCCACGCAAAAAATGTCGCACCCGGATACAAATCATTTATATGATGATATACTAGATGAAACGTGAACTTGTTCTTGTACTGGTTGACAGGACTATCACTTAGCATGTGTATTCTGTGAATGTTTGGATTGTGATTAAAAATCACAATCCAAACTCAAAAACTGGTAATAAGTGTGCCCATACTGCCATTGTATCGTGTCTATTATTTTCAGAAAGAGAACAAAACGTGTAGGGTTTTACTGTGTCTTTTTCACGTAAATATAATACTCCTGTATGTAGAGTAACTTGTTGTCTTGCACCTCCGAAATGTACTGCCTGAATCTCTTCGTTATATTTGCAACAATAGTTTTCGCTGAAATCTATGTGAATAAGGACTTCATTGTCAGCTAAAGTCTTTTTAAGTTCTGATATGGTCTGATACTGGTGTGCTATCGTGGCAACGTGTTTAAAAAATAAAGGCAAAGTATTTTCTAACTGAAGTACCAATGATCTCAGTGAAACCTTGATCGCTTTTAAAATAGGTTTTCTTACTGTCTTCATCTTTCCATTTTTTTCGTAGGATACAGTTTCGTACATCCACTGTTCATAAGTCACTATTCTGTTTCGCTGTGGAAGATAATACTCTACCATTTTATTTGCACAACCTCCACATTCTCGTAAAAGACATTTAGTTGAATAAACATTGCATGTTTTCATGGTCAAAAATTTAGTTAGATTACAGCAAGGCAATACTTTATTTTCATGTAACTTCATGATCATCCGTTGAAAATTTGCGTGGATTACACATTTGCATGTGTTACGGTCTTTTATGTTTGCCCAAGTCACCCAAAAAGGCCGAAATCTGCAGAAAGTTGTCAAGCTTATTTTATACTCAACTGTAGTCAGGAATTTATTGTGCAAATTTTTCATGGTATCGCACAGTAAACGTTTTTGTTTTATCTGCCCCTTTGACTTTACAAAATCTTTCTTTCCTGGGCACATCCGAGAACTTTCGTCCTTTTCCAAAAAATCTTGAACATCCTTTTTGACCTTCATTAATTTAGCAATGACTTTCCTAGAAACGCTCTTTTTGTAACAATCATGTTTGAAAAACTGTTTTGATAAGCTAAGTAGTTTATGCTTCTTCAAAAGATCAGGTTTTACTATTTCATAGTACTTTTTCTTTTCACTATGTTTCTTTAAATTACTGTACCTGTCTTTTAGCTGTTTAGTAATAACTTCTGATAGAAGAAGCTTCTTCTTCACAATTTTAGGAACTTGGACGTTCTTTAAGAGAGCTGATGCTTTAGCTTCCGGTGAAGTCTGATCATTTTTGTTTTGTCTTTGACATCTCTTACGGTATCTCTCTTTTCTTCTTATTTCTTGTTTCAGACTTTCCTGTAATCTGGATATTTTTGCATAAAGTATTCCTCTACGTCTTCTGAGTTGCTGCCTTCTCCGATCAACTGCCAGATTTCTTAATTCATTATTATTTTGCATAGATCCTGGGCTAGGAGGTAGTGACTCATCTAACAGTCTTGCTAAATTTTTTCGCACTTTCACTGTTTTGTCTCTATATGTTTGGCTATTTTTCTTCTAGTTTTTCCTTTTTTGCCTTCTTTCTCAGGAAGTCATTGCGGATGTAGGTTTTACTTGACCTTTTTCTTTTTTAGGTATTTAATTCTTTCTTTTTCGCGAAGTATTTCAAGTGTTACAGGATCAGCTTTCATTTTTTCCCTGCGCTTTCGGTCATATTCTTGCTTTTTTAATTTAGCTTCTTCTTTGCTTATCTTTTTTTTTCTTGGCATTTTTTAACCTACAACAATATTGCAGCAATAAATTCAAGAGTTAATAGAAGCAAACAAAAAATAAGCCAGTTAGCTCACCCAAAAATCATTCCCTCACATATCATTATTCCCTCACCATAATTTTTTATGAGGGAATGATGATGAGGGAATGACGAAATAAAGGATAACCGTATAGGACTCGTGACATAACCTTACGTTTAAAACGATTTTTCTGCTTAAGGAAATTACTCCCAAAAGCCATCTTATCTGTGCAACTTATAATCAGTTAAAGTACTTACCTTTTGTTTTTTTAGAATGTGATGAAATGACGATCAAAAATTTAATTTAATGATATAATTAATAAAATCTTTTTGCAGCGCACACCTGAACACAATCACAGAAAATTCGCCATTTTAATAAATTGACATTAGTGCCAACTTTCAGAAACTAATGGTAGCGTTCGTATTTTATTTAAAATCCGTTCGTAATTCAACTGCCAGTAATAGTGTGAGGGAATGATTTATTTTTGTGAGACACATTTAATATTCAAATTTTTAACGCGTTTTTTACTTTATAACGCTAATCTCGGGTTTTCCCATAAATTTATAATATTTTTAAATAATCCAACTTACTTAAATATGATTCGAATGATTTTTGTACTTTTTTGGTAAATAAAAGTAAATAAAATTGGTACTTGGGACACAGTGAGGGAATGATGTTAGGAACATTATGGTTATATATTTTTATTTATTTATTTATACGGTTCTAAAATCTTATGTGAAACTTTTAGATATAGTTATGTGGATTGTAAAGAAATATTAGTAACATCAATTTCTTTGTTAAATTTTTATATAACCTCCAAGGACAAGAATTTCGGAATTTCGTGAGAATTATCCATTAACATTGGGTTCACGCGTTTTTTATTAATGTTTATATTAAAACCGTATATTGTCGCTTGTCACGTTGTTTTCGATACTAGTGCAGTCACATTATCTTCGATTTTTATACATTATGTGTTTTTATCACGTGTTTTTCTCTTTACTGATAAGTATATTGTTAATTCTAGCTGTTAGTATGCTTAAATATAGCTAGTGAAATATTTATTTGTAATTGAATGTTATCATCATCAACAGCCTTTAACAATCCCCTGCTTTGCATAGGCCTCTCCTTAAAATGTTACATAAATATATATATTATTTTATCTCAATTTACAATAATATCCGCGTAGATGTGATAATCTTGAGCAAACATATAAATATAAGTGGTATGTATTATTTTACTTTTCATCAACAGCCTTTAATAGTCCACTACTGGACATAGGCCTCTCCTTAGAAAGGAGGTTTTGGCCTACTATACCACGCTGGCCAGACGGGTTGGTATAGGGTTTGTGTCAAGTTTTCCTTCTTTTTACAGTGCTGGTGTCCTGCGTTGTTTTGTGCCCTTAGTCGGCTCTTACGACACCCACGGGATGAATTGGGGTAGTGTCATTCCGTATTCTTAATCCGTCACTACACTACTACTAATTAATATTAATAACCAACAACGCAACTTTTCTATATTGACTATTAAACATAATCTGTTACTGCTAGCTTGAGGCAAAACATTGAGTTTCACAAAAATGAAACAGTTCAAATGTAACCAAAAAGTAATACTATCTATGGCATTGATATTAGCGATTAGTATTGCGTTTAGATACCATAAATACGCTTTCGCACCAACGCTAGTCCGCTTGAGGAGACAAAATCTTCCTTCATAATTTAAACGTACCTGTCAAGCGTTATTTAAAACTTGTTACAAAAGTTGACTTTATTATATACGTAGATGCGGTCGTACGGGGCGTGCAGGCAACAAAGGCTACGCTTGGACATTCCTAACGCCTGAACAAGGGAGATACGCCGGTGACGTGGTGAGAGCGTTCGAGCTGGCCGGCGCCACCCCACCGAACGAGCTGAGACAGTTGTGGGACAAGTATAAGGAGGCACAAGAAAAGGAAGGCAAAAAAGTCCATACTGGTGGCGGATTTAGTGGAAAAGGTATGTATAGATAACAAAATCTAATGTTTGAGTCGTATCTTTTTGTGATGGTTGTCTGTTTATTAAAGAAGCTTGTGAGCTTTAATATCAACGAATAATGGTAGGGGAAATGTGACTCTTGAATGGCAGTATTACAGACGTACCGTGCTTTCTGTACAAACTTGTACCTCAGCGAGTACGTCGAAGTTTTAGCCCGTTTTTACTTAGTAACAAACTTTGACGTTTTTAGAATACTCTGCAAAACGTCTGGTTAATGTTAAAAATATAAGTTCATCGAAAAAAAAAATGACATATAACAAAATCTTTCGGATTTTCTTGCCTTTTACACTTGGTTCTAGTCGAATTTTAAAATCCCAAATTTCAAGTTGATGTGAATTAATGTTACCTACCTGTTTACGACGAAAAAACATTCTGTTTAAACTTTAGTTCTGTACTGTTGTAAGTTAAGCAGGAAATTGTTTCACTCAAACTTTTGCACACAAGAGAGTGGCGCAAAATAGCAATTATATTCAACGAGACGAATTTTAATATATACTTTAACAAGACTTGTACAACGGGTACATGCAACGCCCAACAAAAGTAATACTTGACTTACTTATTATAGGTTTCAAATTCGATGAGTCTGAAGCACAAGCGGCAACGGAAAAGAAGAAATATCAGAAGGCGGCTCTTGGCCTACAGGACTCCGACGACGAAGATGTGGAAGGTGACCTCGATCAACAGATTGAGACGATGCTTGCGGCTAAGAAAATTGTAAAGGAAATTAAGGTCGGATTATCTTTTTTAACTAAAGAGACAACTCCCGTAGTAGGATTATATCCTGTGTCGGTAGGGACTTTACAAAGATACATGGAAACGGACACAAAGAACACCTAGACTCAGAACAGTAATTTGTAGATCACACAAAGTGTTGTCCCGTGTGAGGAAAGCACCACAACACTCAGCGCAGTAGGAAGCGGTGAGGTGACCGCTTAAACAACTACGCCATGCGTGCAGTCTCTCTTTAATTACCTCCTTGATTACTTCTTTTATTTTATTTTAACGAAAGAAGTACATACACAATGTACTTCTTAGATAAATAAGAGTTTGTGGAGTTAAGTGAACTAACACTAGCAATCGACTTAAAAAAATTAAGGAAGTTTTTCAATTCACCATTCATTCATTTATCATCTTCGTAATTATCAGCCTTTAGTAGTCTACTACTGGACGTACACCTCTCCTTAGAAAGGAGGTATTGGCCTAGTATACCACGCTGCCCAGACGGTTTGGTATGGGTTTGTGTCAAGTTTCCCTTCTCTTTGCAGTGCTGTTGTCCTGCGTAGTCGGCTCTTACGACATCCACGGGATGAATAGGGGCGGTGACATTCTGTATTTTTAATCCGTTACCACAGGGATAAAGTGCTTAGTCGATGGCAATAAGTTTGCTCCGTATTCGTCTCGGTAATTCCACTTTCGTACACGTCGTGATCATTTGATATCCTGTAGAAACTCTTCAGATAATAATAATATAGATAAATCTGCAGTGACTTGGGTATTTTCATAATAACTGACATATTTGCTTCTGGAAGTAATTTCCAAAGCACCCGATGAAGTGAAACAGATGATGGAGTAATATATGATCTGATAATTCCAATTTGAGTAGATAGAATGCCATTCGTAGGGGTTTACAATCGGGAAAAGATTTCATTTTTGTGCCTCATGTTTGACTATGGTAGTATCTAAGAGTTTATATCATATTTTCGAACAAGAAATTTACATACACAAAGGTTATAAATGTAGAAAGGTAAATAACCACTGGGGTTTATTGACTTTTGTTATACAGACATGACTCAGTTAGCATTTTATTATGCTCGCTATAGACGCTCTAATAAAACTTTAGTGGGTTCTTATGTCAGCTTATCTCATTATATTTTTATTATAAAAATTGTTTTTTGTTACTAAACAGTTTTGATAAAAATTTCGCAGTTTTGATTGTGCACGCGAAAAAAACACGTGTTCTGATCACGTTTCATTTTTAAAAATTATCATGTTTTGTTCATAACCAAGAGTAATTGAAAAATAACATTTTAAGTTGGATAAGTATTTAATGTATTATAATTATAAAACGTGAATTATTTAAGGTTAAAGATCATTAATCATACTATGGTTTTTGTTAACCGACTTCAAAAAGCGGAGGAGGTTCTCAATTAGACTGTATTTTTATTTAAAAAAAGTTCTGAGGTAACAAACATATTGTTACCTCAGAACTTTTTTGCTTATAATTATTTTATGAATGCAGAATCTCGGTAATACTGAATTCATGTCCAATTGTCTATAGATGTCTACAATTTTCCTGTTCTATAAGTGTGTTTACAATGTAGAGACGAATATAAGTCGCACTCGATAATATCCATACGGACTTTAACACGTCTATAATGTTAGTGGCTAAGTCTATGTGGCCTCCAAGAACTTCGGTGTGCTAAACTGATCGAGGCAGTATTTCACTCCAGCTCATCGTCTCCAACTCTATAACAGTCCGACCGCATACGGAATACTGTTCTCATCTCTATGCAGGGGGACCTCAGTACCAGCTTCTCCCTCTGGACCATATCTAAAGAAGAGCGTCTCGAATCGTCGATAGCCAAAAGATCTCCAACCGGCTCGATCCCTTGGCCATACTTAGCGATGTAACTTCGCTCTGCATTCTCTACCGTATATATCAGGGAGAGTGCTCCGAGGAATTGTTCGGACTAATACCGGGTGTCGTAAGAGCCGACTAAGGGAGCAAACTAAGCAGGACAACAGCACTGCAAAGAGAAGGAAAACTTGAAACAAACCCTATACCAACCCGTCTGGCCAGCGTGGTATAGTAGGCCAAAACCTCCTTTCTAAGGAGAGGCCTATGTCCAGCAGTGGACTAGTATAGGCTGTTGATGAATACCGGTCGCAATCTTCCGCCATCGTTCCACACGGCAAATTTTTAGTTCCCACCACTTGGATAATTGGCGCGCCACCACTGTGAGCTTTTCAAGACACTTTTTGCCTCGCACTACCAACCTGTGTAATAAGTTATCGGCTGCGGTATTCTCGGACCGATACTACCTTCAAACCTTTAAGAAAAGGGCGTACTCCTAAGGGCTGAGACTCTAGTAGTGGATTTCCATTAGGTGAATTCGCCTGTTCGTTTGCCCACTATTCCATAAAAAAAAATAAGCTCGTTTCGACATTGCAATTTATTAAGCAAATTCGGATAGATGAGAACAGGCCCTGAATAGGTCAAGACCTTAAATAAGTAGTTGCGGCAGTGAAATTAATAAAAGCAGGTTATGAAAAAGTCTTTGGGTGCAAAGAAGGCTGAAAAGGTTTGAACAATTCGAAGCACACGGCGTGATGTATCGATGTAAAAAAAGTGTACGAGGTAGTGCGAGGATTGATTGGAGGAAAGTAACGTTTTAAACGTTACACCCTAATAGTATATTATTCAGTTCCACAATAACTTCTTAAACGTTAGAAGTGTTATGTTTAATGAAAACGTTATAATGTTGCAATGAATGTCACACTGTACACGCACTGTCTCTGTACACGTTTGTTCTAAATATGTAAACGCGTGACACGTTTATTGTTCACTAAGGAGTTCGGTTATATTACACCGAACAGAGAGCATTTCTTTTGACGTGCGATTCGAGTGAGTCGATAAAATCAGCGATGAATGTGATCGTTATGTTGCAGCCGGGCGTGGCGGGCGCGGGCGTGCCGGCGGGCGCGGGGGCGGGGGCGGGCGCGGGCGCGGGCACGGACGGCAAGCTGGAGCAGGCGCGCCGCGCCGCCTCGCGCATCAACCTCGCCAAGGGGCTCGGCGCCGAGCACAAGGGCGCCACGCAGCAGGCCGCCGAGGCCATCCTCAAGGGCGCGCCCTCCGCGCACACGCTCATCACGGTAACTATCTGACTCTCTTCCACTACGCTCCATATTTACAGTAACTATAGGGTAGTTGACTGTAGCATAATTCAATAACGTTGTCTGCTTCATTAAAACGAATATCACAAACGTGTCGGCAAATATAATTACTCTAGCCTTTATAACTGTTACGAATTTAAATCTAATAAACGTTGAAATATATTCTTCATTTGTGTAGTCTAAAATAGTGACGTCATGAGTTGCTATTTAGTACTTTTTCGTACAAAATTGTTGTTTCGACAGATGATAAAAATCTAATTTTACTTCATTGTCAACTACCCTATTATACCTGCAAATGTTCATGGAACTAATATATACAGATAATCGTTTCAGAAAATAATAAAGTGAAGACGAAAACATCAAAGGGCATGGGCCCAATTTCCATTTAAAAAAAATGTATGCTTTGTTATATATATTTAACTAAGCTTTATGAACCGAACGATACCACCGATGAACCAAGAAAGCGATATGTGATATATTCCTAATTATTAATTCTCAGGCTAAAATCGTAGCGGAACAGCTCGCAGCGAAATTGAACACTCGTCTAAACTACCAACCGCGAGACGAAAGCGCTTCGGAACCGGCCGAGGAGGTGTTTCGTAAATATGAAACAGAATTGGAGATCAATGACTTCCCACAGCAAGCTAGATGGAGGGTCACCAGCAAGGTACGTTTGTTTACATATTATCTACTTATGTCATGTCGTTCTCATTGTGTTCTAACCGAATTATTTTAACGTTACACAAAGGAAGAATCTTTTTATAATTTCTATTATTATACAAATTATTTATTTTACTTCTTAGACGACTATGCGATAACCATACGACCTTACTGACGCTACGATTAGCGATTTTTATTGAGAGCTAACAACCTTTTATTTGTTTATTTACTTAGGGGTCGACCTGACCTTCTTGCCTGATAACCTTTATACAATAAGTACATGTATAATGCATTTGTATCACAGTGCAATTTCTGTTGCTGAAACCATTAGTTGTCAAACATGTTGCTCAAACTAGCAATACTCGGTGCTCTAATATTCTTTTGTGTAAAATTACTTAAAAGTAATAACGTTTCGGTATCAAGGTGCTACCATCATTTTTGTAAATAAATATCGCAGTTAAAGGTAAAGCATGATCGTACTTATGTTACTTCTGCGTAGATTTAACCCTTTGTTCCAATATCTGTCCAAATTTTCCTAAAAATAACAATCAACATGAGAGTAGGTTGCATCGAATCTTTTTTCTTATTTTCTAAGATAATATAACGCAAACACTCCAATATGCAACTTTGCATGCATGTTACTTTAAATGTACAATTTGAACAATGCCGGTTCGGTCCATTATCTTCGTTCTAACAGTTTTAAATATGTGTCACTACAATCACAGCACATTTCGTCGACACATGTAGTGTTAGTGGCGATTTCGTGAAGATTTTTATGTAAAGGAAAATTATAAAATGTCGGTCAAAGATCAGAGGGCCTAGTGCATGTTTATTTTCATTAACTCGATGTCGATATAAATAAACTCACACTAAGCCCTCGGACGTATCAGAAAGAGAAATTTTAACTTATTTCATAAAAATGGAACTTCTATGGTTGTCGGACATATTTATATATATGTATATACGTAACTATATATTCTATTTTAAAGTGTAGTTCCCAGGTAAAGCTTCACTTCTTCGCCACTTCACTAGTTTTACTTTTTGAGTACACTACTCCAACAACTAGTTACATAGAATTGAGGTAGATACTGTTCCAAGGCACTTAATCAAACGGAGAGGATGATTTTTGTCGATAAGAGTATGTATATTATGTCTTTGAATAATTAATACTTTACTTTTCCAAACATATTTTTGTGATTTACAGGAGGCTCTAGCATTAATCAGCGAGTATTCTGAAGCCGGTATCACAGTACGCGGCACATATGTCCCACCTGGCAAGACACCACCTGAGGGCGAACGTAAACTGTACCTTGCGATCGAAAGCTCCCAAGAACTCGCTGTTGCCAAAGCAAAGTCCGAAATCACACGACTCATCAAGGAAGAACTACTGAAGCTACAGACCTCCGCACATCACATGATAAACAAAGCTAGATACAAAGTTTTGTAAATGTACGGAATATAACTGGAGTGATGACGTTAATATCGTTTTATTTCTCGATGGCCTTTGCCCCTATAATGTATAAGACAGATCAATGGAATGCTGACGTCGTTCCACTATTATCGTTTTGTAATTATACATGTCTACTAGAATAAGAGGAATGAATTCCTCTTATGACCGAAACAGGGTTTTCAGCCGAAACCGGAACCGAACTTTCGGGCCTTGTTTTAGTTTCGGCCGAAACCGAAACTCAAATTATCATTTTAAAATTTAGATTTTATAGTGAAATCTAGTGTATATTTTTAGTCATTTATCTGCTTATTTATTTATTTATTTATTGAGTCTTCCTGCAAACATATTGCATAAGGCGGACTTAATGCCTCAGGCATTTTCTTCCAGTCAAACCTTTGGGTATTGCAAAGCTGTGTGTGGCAGGTGCATATTTGGGACAGGTAAAGATGAGTCTCATCTGGCAATGAAGCCATGTTACAATGGCAGAAAAGAACAAATCCTACAGATATATAAGTACAAGATATACATACATATAGTTTATACATATAAATATTATAATAAATGACAAAAAATATATACGAGTAATATATTATAATATATATGATAATAAATATACTCTTAGGGTGTAAGTCTCTATAGAGCTTCCGTACTTTAAGATTAAAAGTGTATCGGTTAGTGGACATCCTGATTTCTAGTGGGAGTGTGTTATACCTACATACCACCTAAAACCACTGTAATAAGGTAGCTACACACGTCATTAATTCTAAATATACGTTTTTTTTTTAGGTAGGTAGATAATTAATATTATTTTAACGGGAATTAACGCGATCTCTTATTTAGGGTATTACGTAGTCACAGGCTGACTGCCCGTCAGCCTGTGACCACGGCCGGTGCAACCTGGTCGAAACGTCAGGCAAACCAGAGGTATGTAATACCCTAAATAAGAGATCGCGTTAATTCCCGTTAAAATAATATTAATTATCATGGAACGCGAAAGTTTAAAAGTTAGTATAGGTAGGTAGATGAAAAAAAGTAGGCAGTTACCAAGTACAAAAAATTCAAAATTCACTTGTCCTAATTAACTAAATAAACAGCGGTAAAGACGAGGTGAGGTGGGTGACTAGGTAATTTAAAAGGACCATACCATACCCGTTTTCTCATAGTTAGGCAACACACTTCAATTCAAATTCAATTATTGTTGAATTAAGTATCAAAGAAATCTAAGGATCGTAATATAAAATGATATTCAAAGCTTGAGGTTAGTGTTCGCCTTATAAAACTACGGTCAAGTGTTTCTTGAGTTTGACAAACGTTCTGGACGTGTTCCAGAACCTTTCTCAAAGTAATATCTGAATCGAACATAATCTCTTTTATGTGTCACTAATATATGTATAAATAAAACTCAACAAAATGAAGCTCTATACCTAATAATTGCTTTTGAAGTTTGAGATAAAACAATGTTCTAAGTAATGTGGTCTAAGTAAAAATAAAACCAATGCATAATTATTTATGCTTAAAACACAACTCCGCTCCCCTGATTCTGGGGAGGGGGGAGGGACTTAAAGGGGGGGTAATTTACTGGTGACTTTTAAGTTGCAGGTGTTCATGGGGGGGGGCGGTAGTCACTTACGATCATTCGACCCATGCGCTCGCTTGCGCCCATACACCAAAAAAAAAGTTCGCACTTGACGGTGGCGAACTGAGCCAGGCCGGTGTCCACGAGATAGCCGTAAAGTTAACTGAACGACGCACTACACTTTATTAACACTGAGTTTCGGCGCGGCCGTAAGTTTCCGCTAATTTTGGCTGAAACTGAAACCAAACCTTCGGTCGGTTACTACTTTTTACACAATTAAGAAATGAAACAAAAACCCGACTGTATGAAAATTTTATGTCTTTAATAGCATTTCTCGTTTCCAATTACTCGTAAATTTAAAAATATAAATTGTTTACATTTATGTAAGACATTTCTGAAACCCTTTATTTTGCTACACTCTATAGTATTTTACTATGATATTCATATATTCAGTGTCAGTATTAAGAAGAATCTTACGATACCTCAAACGCTAAAATCCATTACGCCGTTTAGGCCACAGAGCGTGCCAAAGAAATATACATACGTCAAACACCCAGAAATAAAACTGTCCGATTTTTTTTTCTGTCCGGATATCCCCTTGGATGCCATCCACCGGTGGTTATGTCGGATTCTAACCGACTAAAAACCGCACGCCATCTCAGGTATCAGTAGCCGGGGAACCAGGTGTACCCTAGGTAGGAAATCCCTGGAACCCCGACGTACCCCGGGCCATCGACGGCATGTAGTAGGGAAGCACGTTGTTCTCATTCTATAAACGAAAGGGCGCTTCGCGCCGCCACCCCGGCCTGCTTCTGCTAGGGTGACAAATGACCCGTCTACCCCAGGCCTGCGTCTATGGAGGGCGGAGGTCGTTCTGCGACCTCCGCGCCTGGGTTGTCTGCGGTACCTGGCCCGTTCCCAGGCCTGGCGGAACGGAAGAGTTCTAACTTACCGGTTCCGCTCCGCCATCTGGTTCGCAAGCATGACTTGCTCACAGAAGGAGACGGCTGAGTAAAAAGTGCTCTCGCTCCGTACCATGGCCGCAATCATGGTACTAAGCGAGAGAATTACCACTCCGATAGTCGCCACGAGGTCACGCCTCTGCTGAACCCACGCTGCCAGCGTCTGGAGCGCCGTGTTCACAGTCCGGCCATCGCAGTGGTGACACTCAGGCGTTGGCTTCTTGCGGATCAGACACAAGTGATCCTTGAAGCATCCCTTCCCGGTGATCACCCTCGTCAGCCGGTATGAGAGTGTCCCGTAAATCCTCCATAACGGGTCGGCAATAACGGCGTGCCGGCGTGGTTGCCCAATTCCTTCCTTACACTCCTCCACGAGGATCTGGCGGAGTTAGGATTTCTGATCCTCGGTTTCTCGAGTCTCAGGACTCCGACCTAACTCCCGCGTCACCTTGCGCCACTGATACAGAGCAGCAAGGGCTCTTGCCTCCAGGTCCCATGGTGGAATTCCAGCGAGGAGACTCGTCCCCTCAAAGGAGATCGTGCGGTACCCTCTTATGACCCTGATAGCTAGCACTTGCTGCGATCGTCGCAGTAGAGCGACGTTGCTGGCCTTCAGGGCCTCCGCCCATACCGACGCCCCATAAAGGGCCATGAACCGGACAACCCCTGAGTAAAGTCTCCTGCAGGAGTCATCGGGTCCCCTCAGGCGGACGTCTGGGCCACACTATGGCGATGCAGTCGCAGACCGCCGGATGCCGTAGGTTCGATTCCTGCCCTGGTCAAATAATTGTGTAAGGAGTACGATAATTGGTTCTGTGTTTGGGTGTGTTAATTCCCGTAATAAACAATTATAGATTTTAGAACGCAATAGTTTAAAAGTTAATGTAAACTTCATAAACCTATAGGTACATTCTACGTGATATTAGCATGGCACATTACACATAGATTATATTTATATGATTATGTACAATAACAATATCATTAATATACATTTATATAATTATTTTGCACACCGGCAATGGTTGGATAAGTTATTGCGCTACTTCTAACATTGACTCAACCATTGTACTTGTATCCATATTCTTCAAAGAAATATAATTATACAAAATATATTAGGTCTTTACCTATGAAATTGCCGTTTTGTATGCAATAAGTGAAAGTACTTATTTTTTCAAACTTTTTTATTTCTGTTATTCGAAGTAATCACCCATGCAATCGAAGCATCTTTGCCATCGCATTGGCAGTTTATTGATGCCCTTCTTGTAAAAATCAGCTGGACGGGAGGCAACAAACTCTTCAAAGGCCTTTTGTACTGCCTCTCGGGAATTGAATTTTTTACCCACTAAAATGTTGTCTAAATTTGGAAAAAGTAATAGTCGGTATGTGCAAGGTCTGGTAAGTATGGCGGATGAGGGAGAGCTTCCAACCCGAGCTCTTGCAGCTTGGAGACTGTCTGTTGCGCAGTATGGGGTCGCGCGTTGTCGTGAAGGAGCAGTGGGGACGACCGATTGACCAAAGCTGGTTGCAGATGTGCAAGCTTCTCCATCATTATCTCCAGTTCTTCACAGTACACAATGCTTGCAGGGTAAAAAATTCAATTCCCGAGAGGCAGTACAAAATGCCTTTGAAGAGTTTGTTGCCTCCCGTCCAGCTGATTTTTACAAGAAGGGCATCAATAAACTGCCAATGTGTTGGCAAAGATGCGTCGATTGCATGGGTGATTACTTCGAATAACAGAAATAAAAAAGTTTGAAAAAATAAGTACTTTCACTAATTGCATACAAAACGGCAATTTCATAGGTACAGACCTATTAAAAACATAAGAAATATCAAAATTTTTTTTTTTTGAAATATTGCTCTTTAGTAAGCTCTGTGACGCCAGCAACGCAGTCAGGAATTAGCATTAAAAAAATGCGAAAATTATGGGCTTTTTTGGTGCCAAGATAAAAAATTAGGTGCTCAACAACTTTCACTACACCGCACTAATGAAATTTGCGTTGCTAGCAAAGTATCAAGCTGGCAACACAGTGACAATAATGCTACGGAGATTAGGTTCGTCTAAATGTTGTAACAATATTGTTCCTTTAGTCTATAACCAAATAATGGGCGAGCACTCAAATAGCACTTAATAAAATGGCATTAATACAGTCAGAACATAATTAGTTAGTTAAGTATGTATGATATTTGTGGTTCGGAATCCTCTAAATCGTATTAAATTATCCTACCAAACTTTTTAATTAAATATTCTAGGAGCACCTTATTAGCACTTAATTAATAGTTACTGAAAACAGCAAAAAAATGTTTGCACGATTTAATCTTAATCCTGTAGTGATAATCGTTCTTTTAAAATGTCATAACAATGTATTGCTGATGTTTTCTTTTACATACCAGTGAGCACTTAATTAGCCTTTTTTTTTAATTTGTACTAGTTATTTTAGAATCAGATGTTTCAAAATTTT